TTTTAAGCATGACCTAATGACAGCTATTATTATTGCTACACAGTAACTTAACTGGTGTTATTATTAGAAGCATGAGGTTATATTAAGCACTTTGAGTGATGATAGGCACAGTCGGGTCAATTTCGGACAGGAATGTGCTGGGCTCGGAACAATTTTGGACTAAAACTTGATGTGATCAGGTCTCGTAGCATTCGGACAGAATTTTGTCAGGCGCAGTTTGGGCTCAGACTCAAAATTTGGTCCTGTGGATCACGTGAGGTTGGACTGTAATTGGGTTCGGAATAAAATTTCAGGCCTGATTAAAGCTCTAAAATGCAGGTCTAAATTATCACACACGTGCCTCAAACTAACTGGAGGTGTTAAGCAATCTCAAACAGACTTGATATTTGGTTTCTGAAACTGTGACAAATACTGTTATCTAGGGAAAAAAAGACAGTACAGACAAAATTCAGGCTTCAAAATGGTAGCTACTACTGTTTATGCCAATGTGAGGTAGTTAAGTACCTTTTTATACATATCAGTGTGTCAAATAGACTATCACTTTTCTAATGTATTCATTTTCTCTGTATATCATTACAGAGAGGAAGGAATCTTAAGGTGTCACCTTGAATCGTCAGAATTCAAACCAAACTTGAATTATACACATTAAGTATGAAAAAGTTTAGACACCTGATCATCCAACGTTTCCTCTTAAATCAAAGGTATTAATATGGAGTTTGTCTATTCTTTGCTGGAGTAACAGCCTCTACTCTTCTGGGAAGACTTTACATTAGATATTGGAACATGAGTTGAGTGGTGTCGGATGGAGCCCCATCACTCCAGAACGCAGTTGTACTGCTACCCAATATGGGGGGCTAAGTGCTACTGAAGACTTGTATCAGCAATAGGGTGCACCTGAAAACAGCTGAATTCATTAATTACAAAGAGTATATGGATACTTCTGGACATATAGTGTCTGTATGCACGTGTATGCATGTGTTCATTTTTCATACCTCCTTTTCCATGGATGTTTACACTAGTCATGAATGATTAACTAAAATAGCTGTAAACATGATTCACAGACACTATAACCCAAACTTATCTTCATCTAAACCCACTAGAATACAACTGCTCTTTCTTCACGTGGCTCCTAAACAGCAGACAGCCTTCTATCACTCGTCTCCACTCGCTGTCAGTCTCTCCTGCGAGCGAGACGTCTCCTCGTTCATGAATTTTACATCGGCCCTTGTTTTTAATAAGAGTGTGCCAGCTAGCCCGTGTCCACCTTTTAATAATTCAGGAACTTGTTGACATCTCCTGAGACGAATGGGCCCTGAGGGTGGGACGGGAGATGTCAATCAAGGAAAAGGTGGGTGACATTCCAGCACCAGTCCATCGCCTGACAGCTCATAACTCCAAGCCTTCTATCTGACAGAGGTCACACGGTAGTGCTGAAAGGCACAGCGCTGTGAGGACTGAATATGCTGCTGCACAACCAGCTAAAATTGGAGGATGAACGCAACAAGGGAAAAAATATACGACATTATGATACAAAGCAGACAGGACGTTAGACTCTTGGGAAATACAGCATTTAAAGGAATACTCCATCCAAAGCATATTAACATCATTGATAATTATGGGAAACCACTATGAAACAGTTAACCTTTAAAAATCAGTACATTTATGTTTGTAAATACAAGAGGAGATATTTCATTATGATTTGAATTTGATGAAACGTTACTGTTCAGGTCTAGAATACCTTTCCTTTACATTTGCTGTTTTTGTCATTTTTTGACATTAAAAAAAAAACCCAAAAACCATCAGTAGCACAGGCTGAAGTCTGTCAAAACAGGCTGCGAAACAAATGTATATGTAAGTCATTATGTTACTAACTATGAAATTAACTTTATAATTATAAAAAATAAATAATGAACAAATGGAATGCGTAGCAGGACAACTTTTAAAGGTTAAAGGGATACTTTGTCCAAGCAATGTTAACATTGTTGATAATAAAGAAAATTCAGTAAGGTTCAGTTAACACCACACACTGGAGATCAGCTGGTCTCCAACAGCTTTCATTCACTCTTCATCAGGACTCTTGTCACAAGAATGAAGAAGGAATATTACCCTAATAAAAACACAGCGTGAATCCACTTTATCCAGTCTCACCTGCACAAAAAGCCTGATCTACGAACATCTGATCAGCTGTACTTTGTGTTTACCTGGTCACGTCTAAAAAAGCATCATGAGCTGAATCCTAAAGATGCGACAGAGTTATGAGCTGTAGGCCATTTCACATTCTGCTCTGTCTGCTCAGTCTCTGATGAAAAGGGACGAGTCAGGTATGTGTGTTTAACGGGTCTTCCAGCACCCACATGAAAAGACCAGCACATCTGCTAAATTCAGCTGCGTTTATCAACACCTGAACGCTGCAAAAGACCAGCTGACTGACTCAACACCAGCTGTTCAACAGTTTTAAATACAGAGAGAGAAACACCTGGAACACATCATTAGAGGACACGGTGAGAGAGAGAGAGAGAGAGAGAGAGAGCGAGAGAGAGAGAGAATAAGAGAGAGAATAAGAGAGAGAGAGAATGAGAGAGAGAGAGAGAGAGAGAGAGAGAGAGAGAGAATAAGAGAGAGAGAGAATGAGAGAGAGAGAGAGAGAGAGAGAAAAGAGCAAGAGAGAGAAAAGAGCAAGAGAGGGCGATAGAATGGGAGGAAGAGAGAACGAGAGTAAGAAAAACAGAGCAAGGGGGAAAGGGAGAGACAAAGAAAAAGAGCAAGAGAAGGAGACAGAAGGGGAGAAAGAGAGAGGGAGAAAGAGAGAAGGACAGAGACAGTGTAAGGGAGAGAGAGAAATAAAAAAAAGAGATAGAGAGTGCAAGAGAGAAAGAGAATAAGAGAAAGGGAGAATGAGAGAAAGAAAAGAGAAAACAGAAGAGGAGACCCAAAACTGAAAAAAGAGCAAGGGGGAGAGAGAGAGAGAGGTGCAAGACAAAGAAAGAGAAAGAAGAAAAACAGAAAGAGAAGATGACAGAATGGGAGAAAGAGAGAGAGGAGGAAAGGGACAGCAAGGTCGAAAGGGAGAGACAAAGAATAAAAAGAGCAAGAAAAGGAGATAGAGGGAGAGAAAGAGAGAGAAAGAAAGAGAGAAGGACAAAGACAGTATAAAAGGACAGAGAGAAAAAAATAGAAAGAGAGTGCAAAAGAGAGAATAAGAGAGAGAAAGGCAGAAGGAGAAAAAGAGTAAGAGAAAGGCAGGAGAGAGAGAAAGAGAGAGAGTGAGAGAGAAATTGAGAGAGAGAGAGAGAGAGAGAGAAAGAGAGAGAGAGAGGAGGAGGCTCTTCTGTGTTTGTAAAGGCCTCAGTGTATTATCACGTCTGTGTGAGCAGCCAGGTGTCTCGGTCTCTACATCTGTTTAAACTAGCAGCATAACGTCATGAAGCAGTAACTCCATCAGCGCCGCTAACACAAACACCAGCTGTACACGAGTCTCTCTGTGGTTCTGTCATCTTCAGCAGCTCTCAGTTGTGTGCGTTCATCCTCTCTCAGGGCAGTGACACTAAGGTGACAGCGCCTGCGACCACACAGCGAGTTAATTAAGCAAGTAAACGCCGTAAACTTGACCACCAAACCACAATGTGCCTGTGTCACAGTAGGGGTGAGTGACCACCAACAGCTCCAAGCACAGAAAGTTACAACTGCAGCTTTAACACGTCTCAGACTCAACTAGGCCTGTTTCAGTGGGTCGTTTTGGTCTTGGTAGGCTTTTTCTGTTTTCTATTACTGCTTAAATCATAATACAACAGTAAAACTGTTACTTTTAGTAAGGTGTAGTAAATTATTTCAGTAGAAACTTACAACAGCCTACAGCTAAACATGCATCCTTCAAAATAAAAGGTCCTTAACTGGGAATTCCATTCTGCATAATTACATCAGTAAGATGTAAACAAAGCCACTCAGCCTGGTTTAATGTGAAATGGTTCAAAGTGGAGAAAACAGTGGTGGTGATAGGAACCAGACGTCTGAAGAGTTTAATGACCTTAAAAGCTACATACATATGTAATTATACAACATGTAAATATACAATGTGGTAGATTTTTTTTAATTCTGCTTTAATGGTTCTTGGTTTGCATGCACAGTTCTGGGAAGAAACTGTTGTAAGTTCTTTTAACTTTAAAAAGGTTCTTAAAGGGGAACTCCACTGATTTTTCAAAAATTCTTTCACAATTAAATGGTTAAGATATAAACAAAGTCGTACGGCGGTTTGGTGTGAAATGCTCCATACTACAGAAAATTGCTGAGTCGGAACTGTTCACACTGGTGGTGATAGGAACCAGACGTCTTAAGAGTTTAATACATCTGAAAGCTCCTACAGATATGCTCCCTGATGTCTGAGACATTGTATTATGATAGTTTTGGCTTAAAATGTATTTGAATCCATTTCTTTTAATGTCTTCATGGTGGAAGAGTACATGAAGGGCGTTGTGAGGCAAAGTAGTCCCCAAAGAATATGCATTATTTCAGATTTATGACTATTTTACCATTATCAACATTACATATAAAAACTCACAAGACACATGTAGGTTCACTGGTCGTTTTGGATTGTAAACAGAAGGTCATGTTTGTGTTCTAGATATTGTGACCCCTGGTTCCTATCACCACCACTGTAAAGGAATTTGAATCTGCACGTGTCTCTACAATGAACCATCTCACGTCAAACCACTCTGGATGACTCTGTTTACATCTCAACCACTGAATTATTCAGAATTTTTTTAAATAATATGTAATTACCCTTTAACATTTGCTCCTCTTATAAAGCTTTTAAAAGAACGGTTCACTACAGGGTTCTTTAGGGAACGGCGCTTCAAAGAACCCTGTCTGGAACCTTTATCTGGTTGTAATTCATAAATACATCTAACACCAGTTAACTGTTTAGTTACCAGCTACCAGTTATTCCTCGTTTTTGAAGCTCCTGGAAGGAAAGCGAGCAAACAAAAGCTGTGAGGAGAACTTACCTCAGCCTGACAGCTGGAGACCGCGAGGAGAGCGAGGAGGCAGAAGCTAAGCAACATCTGCGAGAACAAAGAAAGTTATCCGAGTTACAGAAGATAAACAGACCCCGGTCTCGGCTGTGAAGACTCGCAGTGAGTCACTCTTACCTTCGTCCGGCTGGTCACACGGTCTCCGAGTGGATGGAGGTGAGCGTTTGAGTGCGGGTGGAGGGCTTTAGAGGAGAGCCGGGCTTCAACTTCCATCCCCCTGCTGACGTGAAGACCTGAGGAGGGTCTAACTCACATTCCGTCCACCCACTCAGGGCTGTAAAACGCTTCTTTCTCTCAGCGACTTTCTTGTGTGAGGAAAGAGCGGCTAGGCTGAAGCTTCTTAGTCGAATTTTCCGTTCCACCTTAAATGATGCCGTTACATTCCGGCGCTCAGCCCCCAGCCAGAATGTTACTGCTGCACCATTTAAGGTGGAACGGAAGATTCGAGTAAGAAGCTGATTTCAGCCTCGTCGGTTATAATGCGTAGCCTAAGAGTCTCAGTGGACTTTACATGACCCTCATGCTTTAGTTTCAATTGTTTGTTAACAGTTAAACCCACTTTCTATCACTGTTTTACTCAGATTTTCTAAAAGCGATGCTATGCTTTTTTAAACCAATGAGCCACATTTTTTGACTGGAACACTATGGTAAGGTTTAATTAGCTTAATGAAAAGAAATACTAAAAACTAGCAGAGAGATCGAACTATCGATAATAACATTTGCACCCTTGAAAATAAAGAAGTGAAGGGTGTATATCGGACGCTATTTCAGGACGAAGAAGGTCGTTGTAAAGTTTGTTTTGCTGACCTTCCTGTTGCTGCGGTTACAGGTTTTCAGATTACACTGTGCAACGGCGCCCTCTACTGGCAGAAGTAAAAAAAATCAATGAACTTTTAAAGGGGAACGTGGACACGACTGGTCACAAACAAAAGTGGTTGTGGCTCTATCCTAAAAATGCCTTCAAATAAAAGTGTTGTTAATAAAAACATTACTCGACTATCCACTATAAGTATAGGCTGCTATTAAAAACAAATGCATAAACATGTTAGTTAAAAAAAACGACCCTAATCATGTTATCAATTTTAAGCATAAGTATAAAACAAATAATACATTAATTTAAATAAATAAACACAAGTACATTATAGTGTGTGTACAATTTCTACTTTATTAGGTTTTTGTTTGTTTGTTTTTGTTTTTGTGTTTTTTTGTTTGTTTTTTTTTAAGCAAAACCAACATTTGATACTTATTCGGCCAATAATGCCATGATTGAAACAAACACACACCAAAAAAATAAAAATCACCTTGAGAACTAACATTTTCTCTTCTTGGGAGACTTTTGGTTTAAAGTACAATTTTAAAGCTCAAAAATGAGACTGAGCAAATCAGCCCAGGTGCTATTATCAACAGAAAAGAATTAAAGGAAAACTCAACCCATTCATTTGTAGCTCAGTGTGAATTCTCTCTCTTTGAGAAAACAGCATGAATAAAAGTATCATCATTCGAAAAGCAGAAGTTCAACAAAAGCATATAATAGGCTATTTTTGTTTGACAAACAAAGCCATTGGTTCAACAGAGATAGGACAATATTTATTGGATATTCTTATAAATTATATAATGACAATTATATAATGACATGGAATGACAGTAAAATGTGATGTAAACATTAAGAGTGATTTGGTTAGTCTGATGTCCAGTTGTCAGGTGTCCATGTAAAATACACTGAATTTATTTTCTCCCGATAACTTTTGTTATAGCGCTTTCTGCTGGCTGTCCGTTCAGGAACCTTAAAAACAACAGTGAGTTAAGGTTACAGTAACATAGAGACTTTCAGATTGTACCTGTAATGTCTGTCTGTATCTCTACTTTATTCTGTTTTTTATACACAACTGTGCACATTAAATGCACATCTCTTTTTTTGTCGTGAATTTTAATAATAACCATTATCAAAGGAACAGCTGGTCTCAGAACAGTGGAAGAAATGTGTCTTCCTACAACATCACAGCATGTCTGGCTATATTATAGCTAGATGAGTAAACCTGATTAATATTAAACACTAAAATATGTTTCTCCAGTCTCTCCATGTCAGAAGGACACACAATACAGTTTTGAACAGCCTGCATAATCATTCATTGAGAAGAAGAAAAAACTAAGTATCCAGGCAAAGTGTTTTTGAGAATTAGCTAGTTAGCTTATTTTATAGTTTAAATGGAGCTGCATGAAATGAGCCACACCAGCTGATTCATAGTTCAGTTTAGGTTAGATTGTTGCTTGAAAATGTGGAACTCACTGTTCACTAGCAGGCAAACTAATCTCGGTGGCTATCTAACATGGTCGCTCGCCCCTTACATTTGTAGGTAAGCTACTTTTGTGCCTGTTTGTGCCCTTTTTGTCACTACTAGTGAAAAGTACAGTGGATTCCTCATTTCATTTTTGCTGTCTGTGACTGAATAGAATTAGCCAGCTAGTTTTTGGCTAGCTCAGGAAAATAAACTTTAACACGCATTATAGCTAGGTACCAGTCAGCAAGCTAGCAAAAAAATATGAGGTAGTTTTGTAGTTAAAAGTAAGAGATGATAATATTGTAGCTTGCTTTTCTAGTTTGTCCATGGCAGTTGTCAGGTAGCTAAATCTAAACAGCTTAGTCTGACAAAATGTTAATTTGTATGCTATTATAAAGTGTTTTGAGGGGGTTTAACTATTAGGGAGATGGAAAGATAGAGACATGTGAAACTTTGACATTTAGGCCTTCTAAAACCAAAATGACAAACAACCACCACTGCCTACAAAATGTGGTAGTTGATGCTAGCACACAGTTCCTTCTTTTCTAGGCCAACTAGGTAGATCACACTGCCCATCACGGTGTACCCGCTATGTCAGAATAGACTTCACCACCACATTATTAATTCACTATTTAGACACAAATTGACAGACTATTTCAAATACATATGTACTTTAAAGGGAAATGCTTCAGAATCTAGAGAAAAATAGGCCTGACGTTTTGCAGTAGTTATATGTCTGGTCTTATGTCTTACCTCTTCTTCGTAGTACACCAAGCTCACTGAAGTTTTCCTGGAAAAGCAAAATTCAAGACGATGACGTATCACACAAAAGTTGTCAGTAATTGATTTTTTTTAATTAACCTGTGCAACTCACAATTTGTGTAGCCTGGTAAAAAGGAGGACCACAGATGTGAATAGAACCAGAATAATGGACAAGGTCAAGCACAGGACGATGAATGCTGGAAAACCTGCTAACAAGTTGTGATAAGTGGGGTCTCTAGGAGTCACTTAAAAAGGGGGGAAAGCAATAAAAGGTAAATATGAAACACAAGGCTACAGCAGGCTGTCTTGGGCTTAGATGCTCTATATTGCCTTATAACGCATCTAAGCCCAATATAATGGCTTACTTTGTTGTTTCACATGAGCTTTAGTTACTCTAAATATAACTTTGTATTTAGACATTAATATTTATAAATTGCATTGTATGTGAGAGCACCCACCCGTAGAACTGTTTTGAGGTCCATTGGTTACATTTACAGCGTTGTCTGGCAGATTCATGGAAAAAACAATGAATTTTCTCTTACATGAAAATAGTAAAATATAACATCTCAGTGCTCAACATCAGCCCAATTACGTCTGTCACTGGTGGGATATTTTAAGGTGTAAGGGCAAAAAAGTAACATAAGTATGATGTTATGCGTAGCTATATGCGTAGCTTACCTGTGGTCATCATGTCACTCAATGGCTGCAGTTACAAATGAAACGAAGCAGCTCTCTTGCCTCAAGTGCTTTAAATAGGAAGTCATACTAGACTTAAACTGCACTGCAAAGGAAATGACAAAGTTCATTTTCACGCGTCGAACCACAAGAGTCTCAGTTAGAGATGAAGAGATGAATAAACAGGAAAAAAACATGGTCTCAAAATGTTTTTGGAGATGCCTTCAAACTGTGCTTCACAAATACCATCAAATCAATTGATCACATATTAAATGGCCAACAGTTCAAGTTTTGCATGAACTACAATAGCTGGTGGGTAACTAGTGGGGGCTGCTTGTGGCACAATCTATCACTTTCCACTGCTACTTGCTGATCTAAAGGTAAACAGCAGTAGCTCTGGGCTTTGAACAAGTGTACTTTCTTAGATGAACTTACAAAAGTTCATAAACCATTAAACTTTCAAAGATCACTGTTTAGGAACTGTTTTGAAGTTTTGAGGGGCCTTCTAAGGTTCTGAGTCCAAACTTGTGCACTCTCAGAAAAAAGGTCAGTGGGCTGGTACCCTCAAGGGTACATCTTCAGTGCCTTTAAAGAACATAATTGCCATAATCCATTGAGATTTGATTCTTTTAATGCAGTATTCACTCCCCACACCCTGTCTCGCCCCCGGCTTTTTATTTAAATGTTCTGTTTTAAAACATTAGGTTATTAAAAGGCACAAATAGGTACCTTTCAACTGGGAAACACTTATTTAGGGTATACAGTCAGACCTTAAAACCATTGCTGTACCATTGAGGGTACATTTACTCTGTTTGCACCTTGAGTGTGTGAATGTGGTCACTCTGTGGGAGTGGACAAAAAAGGAGCACACAACATCCGTTCTCTGACCACATTTTATTGTCCACAGGTTTCAAATGATGATACTTTTGCATGCAGTTATATGAGCAGTAATGTATTACAAGTTAGTAAAAGCTATTTTTATCTAATAAAAGGAAAAAGAAGGTTTGATATTAAAAAAAAAGAAAAGGTGAATTTTGAGAAGTTAATAACATAAACATGCACATTTTTTTTGATATTATATTTTGTAATGAGAAGTTTTAGATGTCTCAGCAGGGTTTCTTTTAAGCAAAAAACACTTTCTTTTCTTGTTTTAGAAGGTAATGGTACATTCCACAAGCCATCCTCAACAAAAGATGAATATGCATGTAAACATATATGTTTTTTAGCCGGTTGCTGGAGAAATCATTACATCTTCATGAATAATAGCAGTTATGTTGATGACCTGCTTAGCAAAATAGATAAATAGGACAGACCTAGGAGTCTGCTGGTCCATGTAATTCTGTATATTGGGATATAAAAGGAGCAGCTGAGCTTCAATAACTTATTCCAAGAAGTCTTCTTCATTGTGATCACACTCACCTCTGGCCTGGCAAAAGAAGGATGTGAAAAACAGAAACTATACACAGATATAGCACATAAGAACTTTTAGTCAGATCATGCGTGTAGAGGAAGGAAAGAGAATGGTCAAAACAAAGTAACTGCTATGTAGAGACAAATGGGGCTGTGTAGTCAGATGCACATTTACATTAAAGTGTTTAATAGGGCTGGTTTTCACATGCAGATTAGGCTGCATATTGGATTTACATTGTGAGTATAAATTTGTTTTCAGTCTTAGTTTTAGGCTTATTCTACATTTGAGAAAACCAGGCCAAAATTACAGGCATCCTCTGTTTTGATTGTGGAAATGCAAGTAAAATCAATAACAACAGGAAGAAACCTAAGACAATTGACATAAATTCAGCGAAAAGGCCTAATTTCTGCTAATTCATGCTATAGTATGCTATATATGCTTACTTATTTATAGGAGGTTTGGATCATCTGTACTTCCATTTCACTCTGAGAAGGAAATTTAGAGTTTGTGGAAAATTTGAGCAGCATTGTTGCCACAAAATTAGGGGTTTTGGAATTGAGCATAATTAATAAATCATAGTGAATGAAGCATGAAATGTGTCAAAACAGATGAACAGTGGACTAAGACATGAAGTGTCAGGAAAAAGAAGAAATTCTGTCCTGCTTTTTTATCTAAAATATAAAATTTGCCTCTGTTCACTTGGTATGTATGCACTTTGGTACATTTTGTATAACTTAGATGTAAAGCAGGATGAGAATCACACTGGGACAAAGTATGCGATAGGGGGAAAAAATGTTGTTTTCTTTAGAACAATGTCAAGGACGCCCGGTTGTCTGTAATGCCTTTTTTTTATTGTCTCTTGTTCAACAATACGTTGTGCTGATTTGGCATGATCTTTATCAGCATCGTGGCTGCATGCACAGAGAGACTAGAAAGAATCTGGCCAATGTTCGTTTCCATGGCTAACGCAGTTATCACTAAATATACATGTACCTAGAGCTTCATGAAATGAAGAGCATCTCATGAGAGTCTAAGCAATAATACGATATTATGCTACACATATAACAAATACTCAGTGGTCATTTGTTTTATATAGATATATATAGATAGATAGATATAGTATAGTATACCATACGCAACTGTGCAATGAATCAATTACCATTTGTTTCACCTCTCACATACATGTAAGCCAAGCTGGACATTACAGAATGCACAGTATGCACACAAAACCAAAAAAGATGAACTGATCGATTGTTGTATTTGGATGAGTTATTGAGGTGAAAATGATGTTACCCTGACAGCATTGCAGAAATAATCTGCTTATCAAAATAATAATCGTAATAAAACATCACATACAACATTTAGCTAAATGGCTAATCCAAAAAATGTAAACATTTGAAGTTGACTACTCAGATCATTAAAAATCTGGATAGAAATTGTGAATTTTAAAAACAGCACATTTCTCTTTTCGATAATATTTAATGCGCCTTATTCTTTCCTCACCATATGGATCCGATCGATGAGAATCTCTCAACATTTTGGTTAGTTTGCTTTTTCAATTAGTTTGATAAAAACAGTACAAAAAATACTGCTGTATAAAAAAAAAATTGAACTCAAGTTTTCCTCGCAAAAAAAAAAAAATTGCACGGCATGTTTTTTTTATCCTTTTTCTTTTAAACTCTTTTGAAATAACAAGCTGGTATTATAAGTGTCATCACAGTTGCCTTAAGGCACCCCTCTCTCTCTCTTTCTCTCTCGTCAGTAGGACTACATTTTGCTACTGCTGCATTTCTAATCCAGTTCTACATGTTTATACTGTCAAGTCGTCTGACCTCGCTCGGCTGCTGGCCTTGCTCAGGCTGCTGAGCGGTCTCGTGTCTTCTATCGTCTCGCTGGCTTCCACGTCCGCTTCTACAGGTGTCTCGTCCTCGTCTACCCGCATAACCCTGCAAGCTCCACTCGGCCCCACCATGGTCGTCTGGATGTAGGAGGGTAAAGTCTCGTCGTACACCTTCGACATGTCTTCCTGCGGCGCAGACGCCCCTCCGTCCGTCTTTTCCGCAAACGGCTCATAGGGCGCTGGCAGGCGGCCAGCCTCCATGCCCACCACCTCGGTCAGGGGGTAGAAGTGTGAGGTGGTTTTGTCCTCCTCCAACAGCTTGTAGCCCTTGGCTTTCTGGATGGACGACACGGCCATTGAGGGCTTCTCAGACGACCCAGGCCCCTCAATCTGCGGCCGGGCCGGTTTGCGGAAGACGAAGTGGATCTTTTTGAGGCCCAGGTGGCTGATTTCCACAAAGTTGAGGAAGAGTGAGACGCAGGCCACGGCCAGCATGAAGATGATGAAGACAGTCTTCTCAGTGGGCCTGGAAACAAAGCAGTCGACTGTGTTGGGGCAGGGCCAGCGGCTGCACTTGTAGAGAGGCAGGATGCGGAAGCCATAGAGGAAGTACTGGCCCACAACGAAGCCCACCTCGAAGAGTGTCTTGAAGATGATGTGGCAGATGTAGGTCCGGAGCAGCGTCCCCTCCAGACGGAACTTCTTGCTGCCCTTGGTGCTGGTCTCCTTGGCCGTGCGGACACTGCCCTGGTCTGGGGCGAGCGGGGGGCGCTCCTCGCCGGCCTCCTGCTGCCGGCTCAGCTCAGCCTCCTCACGTTCCTTGCGTTTCTCCTCCATGTGCACATGGTGCACGGCATGGCCCACATACACCAGCGAGGGTGTGGAGACAAAGATGATCTGGAGAACCCACAGACGGATGTGGGAGATGGGGAAGGCCTCGTCATAGCAGACGTTCTCGCAACCCGGCTGCTGCGTGTTGCACACGTAATCCGACTGCTCGTCGCCCCACACAAACTCGGCCGCTGTGCCCAGGATCAGGATGCGGAAGATGAAGAGGACCGTCAGCCACACCCTGCCGATCACCGTTGAGTGCTCGTTGACTTCCTCAAGGATGTTTCCTAAGAAGCTCCAGTCACCCATGGTTGACGATCAGCACTGTAAAGTTGGGGAAGAGTAAAAAAGAACAGTGTTAAAGTGGGGCCTGTTTTATGCTACCCTGCAAACCAACAACATTGAACAACGAATTTGGACTCCAATTGGACATTGGAGTACAAAATGGAAACAAAATTTTAAATTGCAATCTATTACAAAAATTAGGTTTACAGAATCAACAACTTTGCAGTCTAAGGATGAATATAACCACCAAATAACCATCACCATCAAACCGTGGCATTTTGTGTCCTAATGCCCTTGCAAAATCAACAAGTCCAATGTCACAAAAGTTTAGCACCTCATCCAAAAGGTTACGTTAAAGCTCATGTTAAAAAATTTGCAAAAAATATGGAAAAATACCCCACGGTTGTAACAACCACACAGCTCCAGGTCAAAAACGATCCTTCTGGAACAAGCAGCAATAGGTTAATGGTATCAAATGGGCAACTTGCCACAGTCAGAGCTCCAGAGTAGTCGTGTTCCCCCTTCTCTTGGCACCCTGTGGTATGAAGTGGACTTTTTTGCTCTCTGGTTCCCACCTAAGGCCCCCACTACTTGTCGCACCAGTGAGCAGAAGTGAATGAATCTGGTCTGATGGTTGGTTTTTAGTTTGCTGCAATATTTAAGCTGGGAGCCAGACAGCCTTTATTCAGAGGGCGACGAATGGTGACGCATAGGACAATAGGATCCACAAACACAAATGGGAACGTATGTGACACCACTGTTGGGAGCAATTTTAGTACTGTAAAATTTGAAGTGCATAGACTAGTTGCTCCATTCATTATAAACAAAGAATGGTACTTTTAGTGACTTCATCATGCTGTTACTAACTTTTACCTGTGTCGTACATAGAAAGTATGAGTGAAAATGAGCTTTGATTGATAAAATAGATCAGATGTTATAAGATAGATGAGCATTTGCTTTAGTATGACGTTGATGCTGTTTATATGGTTTGACAATAGTCAGTACAGGGGAGTGTTTGAAAAACACTGTAGCTATATAGATTCTATATGTTTTTGCTTTCTTCAGGTTCTTTTAATAATGTAAATGAAAAATGAAGGGGCACACTTTATAATTGGTATATAATTCCAATCTATAAAACAGGTCAGTCATTTAACGTGAATAATTTTAAATTAAAAAAATAATTCTTGAGCAACTGCAGCAATATAAATTGTTGACATAACGCATTTCCCTTTGTTTTGTCGTTTGCTGGATTTGTATTTCTTAGATGGTGTGTGTTTGTGTTTGTTAGATGGGAGACATAATTATTTTTTCCCAATCTCAACAAGTGCGACTTTATCTTTGCAGTATCTCATTTGACCCCTGACACCATGATGCAAAAGGAAGCAACCAATCTAAACGTCATACATTCAGCAAATTGTCCCTGAACTATAATGGCCAGTTTGCCTTTCAAAACTGTAAGTGGGGAAGATACAGCAGGAAGAATATGAAGATAACTTTACTTGAAGTAAAAGTCATAGGATTTTCTTCATTAAAGTTTGGAATATTATGGGCACAGTTTAGCAGTGGTTGCAAACCCTTGTGCTGGGGTCCCCCTTCATTCTGAGGTTCTCCTTGCTTTTTGCATTTACTCTTGCTTAGTATTCTCCTTGCTCTAACACAACCTATTTCGCTCAGAAAAGGCTTGAATTAAGCTGATTAGTTGGATTTGGGCCTGTATTTATGCTTCTCAGATAAGGAATCCAGATCTAGGATCAGTAAAGTCAAAATAAATAAGAAGAATCTAATTTCTAAATCAGTACTCCTACTCTGAGAAGCTTTGTGAATATGGGTCCAGGTGTCTTAAAGCAGGAAAAACACAAAAATACTGTGATCAGGGTTGGGAAACACGTGCCACAAAGGTTCTTTGAGTAATGCCATAGATGCCACTTTTGGTTCCCTGAAGAACTATATTTGAAAATTTAATGTTTAAAAAATCCTACACAAAACAAGAAGGTTCAATAGCAAGTAAAGGGTTCTTCCAAGAGTCATCACATTATATGGGAGTTTTTAAACTTCGAAAAGGTTATTCACTTTCACACAACTCTGAAGACCACCCACTGAAAGGTTTAAAAAGGTTTAAAGTGGGTGTTCTGTGGAATCACACAAAGGACCATTGGCACCTTTATTCATAAGAATGTACAATGCTTACATGCACACTAATAGATCAACTAAGACTACTAATCTAACTAAAGTATAATCATGTAAACAGCATGGTTCAATTGTCATGATCTGACTTAAAATCTTACTTCAAACGTGAACTGTAAATGGACTACTCTTTAATACAGCTCTTGTAAACCTCTTGGTTCAGTTTAGTTTCTTGACTTAGTCAGGCTACTTTGTCGATCACTGTAACGATCTCTTACTGAGAGTTTCATCTTCTGTGTCACTTCTCTAAAAGTCAAGTTTCAAATGCGAGATTATAAAGGATTTTCACTGATTTTCAGTATTAAAAAATACAAGAGCTAAACCTGGCAGGTCAGGTGGGTCCAGACCCATCCCATAAGCCCTCTCTGGTCACATTGCTTCAATTTGCCTAAGCCTCCTCTCGTCCAATTGGACAACTCTCCAGCAGTGACATCATTGGTTCACCTTTTCCATTGGATGATACCAGCACATCACGTGGAAATTTTATGTTGGAGGGGTTCAGATGGAGAAGTTTCAAAAGTTCTGTAAGAAGCTGATGGTAACCAGTTGAAATGAACATTTGTCATGTAGTTAGCCCCACATCTGAAAAGTGGTATACAACAGAATGTATCCTAATGAATTAACAGATTACAGTAACCAATATTTCTGGAATTTCCCCTGTGACAGCTGTGATCTTAGCATTTACAAAGATCATGGTGAAGTTGAAGAAAAAGCTGTGGATATTTTAACCAGTTTAAAACAACCCATCTGATCATTATAAAGCAAACAGCAAACTAGCCCGATTCTGAAATCACTCAACGTCCAAACTCACAAATGCCCCAGTACATTTTTTGAGCTCCTTATTTTGTGGAAAGCCTACTAAGCCCAATTATTCTCCTTGTTCTAAACTAAGATCCAAACAAAATAAGTCCACTGTAGTGATTCTTGTAGCCCGCTAACAGCCAGCACATTTGTTCCCATGCTGGCCTGACCCTAGAATCTCTCTTTAAAGGCACTACTTGTTGATGTTGCCGGCGCTAGCGGCCTAAGCCAGCAGTAGAGCAGTGAATAGGCGCAGGGATTTCACACAAAGGCATGATGTCATGATGAAACGCGTTGGGCCCATTGACCGCGCGCACTGAGGCATGATCTCAGATTGTGCCAATGAAGCAGGCCCCAGGCCACGGCTAAGCAGAGGACCATCCCTCAAACAAAGTTATCTTACGGCGATCTGCCTACACGCCGTCACGCCACACGTTTCCTGCTCTTGAGGGACAAATTAGCTGACTACTGTAAAAATCACATAGGGTTAGGACGCAGTGGACAGTTAGCATTGGCGACCGGGAAAGCTAGGAATAGCCAAGACGGTATCATTTCTCTGTGGAGAGGAGAAGAAGAGAAAAGAGTTTGGATAGGTACATAGCAGGTTTACACATACATCAGTGTACAACCACATACATAAACCATTTTGGAAACTGCTGCAGATACCTTAGTCCTTCTATTTAACTCAGTTTTGGAAAACCACAGCTGTTTGTCTGCCCAAGTTTTATTACTGATTCTACAGGGCCTGTCTAAATGGTACTACCACCACATGTCAATGCTATTTTTTAAACAGCAGTATAGCTGATTCTAAGTCTTGCTCCAGGCTAACACAGGACTCCCGATAGGATGTGACACCGAATTTCCCTCATCTCGCTCTCCTATGGTAATCCCCATTAATCTCTATTCCAGTGCTAGTCTTTTGATGCTTCCAGTGTGGGTCGCTCTCTTCTCTGTTCTTTGTGCATACCAGAGATACCAGCAACAATAAGGAGGATTTACCCAATTCAGTCCACTTCCATTCCATGTGGCGTACTGAGGACAGGAAAGCGTGGATGGTCCCTCTTTACAGCCTTATGTCCATGAAGGCTGTGCCTGTGAATGAGATTATAGCACTCATGTCTTTTCCTGTCTAAGTGCTGTGTCCCATGTTAGTCGTCTAACCACTCATTACTTGATAAGGGAACATTATAATGTGCAAAACATCCAATGTTAGACCAAAAACACTCATTATGGAGAACTAACTATGTCCTGGCTGCAGTCTCAGAGAGTAAGTACTGTAATTATCAGATTACAGTCTCTAAACAGAGTCTCTGGGGTGCAGAGTAACTGAGTATGTTAGAGTATATAGGAGTACATGTATACATAAGTAGTACACTATATTTACGCTTTTTAATATTTTGAATTTTAACTCCACTACTTTTAAATGCTGTTTAAATGAGAGTTTTCCACCCCAATACATTTATTTCATATTTTGTTAACTGAGGAGTTCTTTAGCTGTTCACATTTAACTTCAGTTTTTCCTGGACAGAAAAGAACAATTCACTCAGATAACTGCTGCATGTCTATTCTTGCTCAAATTTGTCCAGGTATTGCATATTTCTGTACTGTGCAGAAGTCTCAGAAAAAAAACCTCTTTAATTTATCTGAGCAATCAGTGTGTTTCTGTCTGTAAGAACATCATGCAATCTTATGCAAAAAGTTTTAACACCCCAGCCATTTTCAGCTAATTTTAGTGCACAATTTCTATGTACTTGCAGAGTTTACCATATCTGGAAAATGTGCCAGAACTTTTGTACTTGTTTTTAAGTTTTTTCCAATATTTTAAGTAAATAAACAGAAATTGTGAATTATAATGTGTAAAAGTGTGCTCTCTGTAGAGGATATATTTTCACTTATGTCTTATTTTCACTTGGAAGATCAACAAGACATAAATTAGCTGGCTTTTGCACACCACTGTACATCTTTAGAATAAATGAAAACAAACATTGATGCAGGGAAAAGTAATAAGAATTAACAAAGTAGTTTGATGATGTGAGCTA